TAGCTTATTCTGGGGTATGGACATTAAAGCCCATGCAGGTCTCAGCACTCAAAGGTGGAGGCAGGAGGAGGATCATGAGTTTGAGGATAGCCTGGGCTACAAATCAATTCCAGGTGAGAAAACCTTATGCTGGTCAGTTGGATTTGCCTGCCTGCTTTCCATGGCATTAGGCTGCTTCATTTTTCTTGGCTAAACTTCATATTCAAAGACTCATTTACATAAATTTAATTGTATCATTCAACAAGTTGTACAATTCATATAAATCATCATAAACCTGAGCTAAATTTTCACCATGATTAGGGAAAAAATTTTTACTTGTACCACAGTAGTGTTGGTGAATGCTTTGTCACTTAATGCCACTGAAATATTTTATTTTCCTAGTTTTATTAGGTTGCAAATTGTCTGAGAAATAGAAAACCTTGTGTCTTCTTGAGTACTTGCACTCAAGACTTTCAAGACTGCCAGCTGTTTGCTGTTCTGTTCTGTAGGCATCATCGAACAGAAGAATGAGGTGAAAGGCCAGCCAAAACGTTCTTAGACTTTCTGTTGATTTTCTTCCTTTCTATTATTGCTACCCAGCCTTCCTAAACAGGGTTGCATATATCAACCTAAACAATAAGGTCCTTAATAAAAAAGACATAAAATAACAAGTTATTTTATAATTGTATTTTAAAGACAAATTGCAATGAGATTGATAGCATGTCAGTATTTAAAATTTATTTTCATTTATGTTTATGTGTATGTATGTGTGGGTGTCAGATCCTCTAGGGGTGGAATCACAGGTGATTATGAGTCACTCAACATGGGTGCTGGGAACTGAACTCCAGTCCTTTGGAAGAGCAGCAATCTTAACCACTGGGTCATCTCTCCAGCCCATTTTCAATTGTTAAAGATGTGTTTGCTTGGATATGCTTGCTTTACATTGCTATGGGGAAATGATGCCCCTTGTAGCCCTTGCCCGAAGTAGCTCAAAAATATGAAATGCTGACACTACAGATATGGCTGGATTTTTAATATTTTTAGAATCTTCTTCCTGTGATCTGATTTCCTTTATGCTTGATTTTGCTATTTTGAGATGGGTTCTAATTTTCACGGCTGATTGAAGGCGCAGGATAGTTTAGATTAATTTTATGCCCTCATACAACCAGAGAACTATTCACAAATTGTTTTGAGTGTGGGTTTTAATTGATAAAACCTGTTCTGTTTTATTTCTATTTTAATGAAAGAAGCACCTTTCAATGGGCGTCATATTGCCTCCACCCCCAAGGCTTCCTTTTTTTTTTATTCATTTAAACCTGGGGTTTTTTTTTTTTTTTTTTTTCTTTTTGAGAAGTTTCTCTGGAAGATGCAGATTTCAAGATACTCCCTGCCTTTTGAAGACTGATCTTCATATTTTCTTTCTGTGCTGCTCTTTTGAACTTTCTCTCTACCTCCTTCCTGATTTGAAGGAAAGATAAATAATAGATTCTGACTGAGAAGGGGATAAGAGACCCAATATTATATCTTTGCCTTGTGTTAGAGTATACTCTGAGCTCTTTTATAGATGACTGTTTCAGTTGATCCAAACTAACTATCCTGTGAGTGGCTGTTGCCTTTACAGAAGAGATCATTTGGATATAGCTAGAGAAGTAAAAGGTGGAGTTAAAAATTACATTCAGATATCAAGACCCCAAGGCATGCTCCAGTGCTGAACCAGCTGGGAGAGATATTAGACATCATCTAGTCTAACGTCTTTACCTTATATCCAGATAAGCATGTTGTGTATGTGGTCGCTGCTATTCGGAAAGATATGGACCATGAGGGACTATGCTAAGCATTTTCCGTACACTATCTGATCTAACATGTAGGTTAGAGATTGCCCTGGGAACATGATACCACCTACATGCCAGCCTGGGACTGTGTGACTCCAGAGCTCATTTCTCTCCTATCAGCACCATTTACTTTTTTGTGTTACATGAAACTAAAATTGAAAGAGATGCAGTGACATTTTTAAGATCATCAAGTCTCTCTTAGTAGAACTTTCTATCCTTTGGATTTTTTTGACTGCCAGCTGTTTGCTGTTCTACTGTTCTACAGTGTAGGCATCATCCAACAGAAGGAGAATGAGGTGAAAGGCCAGCCAAAAGGATTGGAGCACTTCGTGGCCCCTGATTCTGCCACACTTCAGAACTTAGCCTCTTGAGCCTTCACGAATTGCTAGGGAGCTTATTCCTCTGAGAACTCAAATATGATACACTGAATATGATAAATAAGATTTTTCCAAGTTTGTTTTATAAATTGAATTAAACTCTAAACTTATTCATTGCATAAGATTACTTAATTTTTTTTCTGTTGTGAAGAGGAACATGTCAAAATGTGGTGAAAATAGTTCTTTTCTCAGAAATTCTGGAGGCATCTCTAAGTTGAAGCAAGTTTCCAGTGCAGTGTGTATAATAAATCACCTGTCTCTACTTCAGAGTTGTCAGCCACAGAATGGAAACTAGCACTCACTAAAGGATCAAGTACTGAAATTTTAAAAAATCTGCTTTGAATTGTCACATGGCTTCCATAAATCACAGTCATTTTCTGGAAGAAATTGGTTGCTATCTTTATTGAATGAGCAACAAGGGCTCTTGACCTTTGATAAGTAGACCTAGGGTGTCATTTGGGCATGTCTTTGGTTCCTTCAGCACTTGCTGAGAGCCTGCAGAGCACATGGAAGGATGGTGGGCAGTGTGATGGGAGGAGAAAAAGAAGATGCAGGAAGACCTTGTTCCTGCCCTCATGGAGATTAATAGCTATGCTAAGTCAAGTTGAGGATCCTAAATCTCATATTCCTCCTTCCCTCTTTGTACTCTCCCTTACACCCAGTCTGTACTGTGCTTTGGCCCTGCAATAAGGATGAGACATCACATTCCTCCATGTTTGATGGAAAATGATGCACTGTCTGTTTGCCTACTACAAGTTTCTAGATTGTTATAAAGATCACATCTTATGCCGCTGTGTAAATTGATTTATTTGACCAAATGGAGCATTTAAGCCCTTAACTTTCATGTAAGCTATAAAGAAAAAAAAGCTATTCCTTCACTGCCAGAAAGGTGTCTCATTGGTTGAAGGTGCTTGCTGCCAAGCCTGATGACCTGAATTCAATCCCTGGAACCCACATGGAACAAGGGGACAACCAACTCTTGCAAGCTGTCCTCTGATCTCTACACATTCACTGTGGTATGACCACACACAACACGCATGCACACACTTATAATACCATCCCTCAATAAAAATATTATTTTATGCTTACCAAAATACTATTTTAAAAATACATTTTTGCCATGGACTCTTGAAACAATAAAAAATATAGGAAGCTTGTTAGTTTGTTATCATCAAAATTATTGATCCTTAATAATGTGATTGAGGAAGATCATTTTGTAAGTTAATGATTCTTAATCACATTTATCTCTTCTTGTTATACTAAAGGAAAATAATATATTACCCACAAAGTTTTAGCTATTTATGTCTGCACATTTATTTTTTCTAAACTTCCTTGAGGCTTTTGTGTAAGTTTGCACTGGAAAATGAGTATGTAATAAGAATTTTAAAATATTTGGCGTGTTAAAGATTGCATATGCCTAGCTAAGAGCTATTGGCAAGTGATGGCTGCTAGGTGAGGGAAGTCAGTTTTCTTCAGGGCTGTGGCCTCTTCTAGGTTCCCGTGTTCTAGTGGATGGCCATATATCCATGTGTCTATGAGTAACACTAATTGAACTCTGAGTTATAAAGAAAAAGAGGATATGAACTGGGAGGTGGATGAGGGACTGTGCGTGGGAGAGATTGGAGCTGAGGAGTAGGAGCTGACCAAAATGCATGGTACACATATATGAACTTCTCAAAGAACAGATAAAAATTTAAAAATTGAAGATGAACACAAATGAAAAAAGTGTAGAGAATAAGAGCCTGCAGAGTATGGGTTCTTGGACAGGATGCCTATATTAACTTCACCCACCCAGGGCTCAGGGACCATTGTGGAAGAAGGGCAGAAAGTCTGTAAGAGCCAGGGAGGAGATTTGTGACCATATGGAAATAGAGTCCTAAAGGCTCCTGAGACCTTGCTCATATGAACTTACAGCAATGGTGTCAGCATGCACAAAACCTATGTAAATTCAAGTAGACAGAAACCCAGCACAGAACTGTGGAAGTGAACAGCAGTCCCCAATCTTAGCTGAAGAACTATTGACAGCTGACTACCGCTGGATGAGGAACTGCTGATCTTGAAGGGAGGGAATCTAAATTGGCTGACTAGACCTCCGTGAATGAACTTGCACTGAGGGAATTTTAGGGACACTAATTTGACTCAACCTTAACACAAATAACAGAATGCAGATTGCAGTAGGGGAGGGGTTATGGGAGGGTGTGGACGGGGAAGGAGACATAAAGATGATTAAGATATTCTTTATGAAATATACAAAAATTCAATAAAAATGTACAAAAAAACTTAAAAAATTGAAGATGGGGTTAAATAATTATTTTTGTCCCCTTCTCTTCTCCCTTTCAAAATCTTTATAAGAAAAAATTACTCTTTGCTTAAATTATAGCTATTTAAAAGTACCTACTATATGTAAGGTACAGTTAAGCTAAAACAAACACTGAAGGTAACCACAAAGAGGAAAACACATCAAAAATACCAAGTCAATTTTTCCATTTGGTGTGTGTATAGAATGAGATTTTTATTGGCAATAGACTTTTAAGTAAGGGTCAGAGCCACCTTTTTCTGCCTGTATTCCAGGCATTGCAATTCATACTTCTGTGGAGCAATCCATCCTGTGGAACAGGGGAAAGTAAGTAATTGTATTCAAGGTGAAAAGAACCATGCCTGTCTTCCTATCAGTATGTCTTTGTTCTTATTATGTTTGCTAGAGTGCTCACTCTAATATATACAGTTTCATTTTTCTGCTGACATCACAAATGGGGAGAAAAGATGTGTCGTTTTTGTTTTGTTTTTACCACCTGGATTTTCTTTCTTTCAGGGCGTGTTGGAGAGTTTCCTGGGTACTGCTGTCTCTGGAGCCATCTTTTGCCTTTTTGCTGGTCAACCACTAACTATTTTGAGCAGCACAGGACCTGTCTTGGTGTTTGAGAGGCTTCTGTTTAATTTTAGCAAGTATGTATGTACATATCTAATTACGAATTAGGATTGTTTGATCTTATATGACCTTCAGTCTGCATAACACACAGAATAGCAATTAGGTAGATCCAAGAATCAGCCAAAGTACTGGAATAATTAAGATTTGGAAGTTGAAAGTGCCTTAAACATTAAATTGTGCAGCACTTAGTTTACATTTGGCTCAGTAGACCCATCTGTTATGTTTTCATCTTGTTCTTTACCCAGTAATTCTTTTCCTACTGCCTTGCTTTGTGCCCTGGGTGCTAACCCCTAAGGGCTACAACCCCAGGGTCATTTGTCCCAAGATTTCTGATGGTTTAGCTTATGGGGCTCCATCAGACAGAAAGAGAGGGCAAAGTGCTCCATATATCAATCTCTCCTACCCTTCCTTGCTTCAGGATAGCAGTCTGACTTATCTCTGACTCTAGTCCAGGTCAGGCTTGTCTACCCTGGCTTTACCTTACCAGGCTCTTGTAACTCCATTCCTTGCTTGACCTTTTCAGGCCCAGAGTTAATAATGTCTTCTTGCTCTAGTTATTCCTTGTGCTTTGCCATTGCCATTTTTTGTTAGACTTTTGTAACTTGTTTATTTTGTTTGCCTTGGGATTCCATTTGAGAATGCTATTTTCTGCTGTGATCCTAACTGATAAAAATGAAGAAACTACAGGACTGGGCTAGGTCTCACTGTTCCCTAATGAAAGAAACGGGATGCTCTCACTTGGTTCGTGGTTCCTAACCTCAACTTCTGTCTTCTTCACAGCAGATAACTTTCAGGACTCAGTGAACAATAATTGACATTTATTAAGGATGATCATGCAACCAAGTATTATCCCAAGCACTTTACATGTACTAACTCATTTAATTCTTATAGGAATCCTACAAGGTAGGGCCTATAATTAGTTTTATAGGCAAGAAAGCAGACTTGGAGTAAGTCAATGGATTGTACATGCTATGTCAATGCTAGATGGTATGGCTGGGGTTTGATTCCTGCTTTCTGATTCCAGAGCCCATGCCTCTTAAGGAATCACTAGACACTGCTAATGGGTACACCACAGTAATGATACCAACATTTTCTTTTAGAAATTGATGAATCATTCTAAGAAGGGAGACTGTTAAGTGAAATACATGTAGTCATTTTAGTATACAAATAGATTTCATAGTAAAATTTGGTATACTGGTCTCTTGCTAATGTACGTGATATACTTCTAAGAGAGAATGGCATTTACTGGTTGATCTCAATCCTCAGATCACAGTTTGTTATGTCTTAGTAGCATTCCTTGAGGGAGAGGGAGAAGGAAAAGGTAAGGGAGAGGGAATAGGAAGTAGGGCCAGACTGTAAATCTTCAAAGCCCGCCCCTAGTGATGTACTTCCTCTAGCAAGTCCACCCTCTACAGGTACTATAACCTTCCCAAACAGCACCACCAGCTAGAGACCAAGTGTTCAAGCACATGGACCTATGGGGAATGCTTCGATATTCAAACCATAACAATACCTCATGAACTTGAGGACTCTTGTATAAGTCTGAAACTGTTTGTGTGTCATCGAAAATGACCATAAGTTAAAGGAGACAGTGAGGATTTAAAACCATTTGTTTTGAAACTTGAGAGAGAACATGAGTAAGAGCCTTCTGAAAAGTTGATTTTCCAGTTTTTATATAAAGTTTTGAGTTTCCTGCAGGTCATTATTACAGATTTCTCCTCCACCATAATTCTGAGGACAGGAAAGAATTTCATTCATGTCAGTTTATAGAAAGAGTCAAACAGTTTTTATATGTTTTAAGAAAACATTTTGTGAGACAAGAAAGCCTTCATGGGAAGATTAAACAAGCATGTACTATAAACAGGAACAAACATGCAGAATCCTGCAGAAAGATTTATTGGATGAAATGTGATCAGAGCCTTAATCTACAGAAAATGTTTGAGTCTTTGCTGCTTTAAATAATTGTACAATAGAGATTACTTCCTTTCACCAAGCAAGTTTCCTTCTCATTCTGCCTACTGTTAATTCATACTATTACATAGTTTCAAGTAACTTATCTGAAAACAATTGCAAAGTAAGGAGAAACATTTGAGAAATTGTGACTTCACATCACCACTGAGTATTCTATGGCAAATAGTATTTTATTCACAATGCTGCAAATTTATTCACTTGCTTCTATTATAGCTATGTTGCTAATGTTTTCTCTGGATACAAAGTGTTTTGTGGCTTACTGTTTCCCTAAATGTGTTTGATTAATTATTAGGTCTATTAGGTGCTCCATGGGAAAAGTTTCCCTGGAAGTCCAGGAAGTGCTGTATGCTCTGTCCCCCTCTGTGGTTTACTTTCCTCCTCAGCACATGAAAAGATCAAAGTGGTCTTTTGATAAAGCAACTATCACTTCATCTTGCCGAGTTTTCCCCCAACATGTTTCCCTTTTGGAGCTGTGGGTGAGGTCTTGTTTGATAGGTTCAGGATAGTTATTACTAATCACCAATTTATATAAAAGATTCTCATCTTCTATTTCTCATACTTCTTGCTGCTTCAAACATGCTATGTTCATAATGAAACACCATTGTTTTGGGTAGTGATTTTATTCGAGCCATTCACACTAAACTACTGTGGCTGATTTAGTGTACTGGAGGTTTAAGATTTAAGTTTGTACAGGCATCTTTCCCTTTGCATCCAATCTCATGGTGTTTTAATTGCTAACTAGTTAATGTGTTAGTTTCTCATCTTCTCCTATAAACCTCAATTTTGTAGCAACCACTAGCATTCTTGGAATAAATCAAGAATGCTCTAGCTTTCAAGTTGGGCTTGGTGGGGTACATGCCTATAAGTTCAGCACGTGAAAAGCTGAAACAGGAGGATTGCTGTGATTGCGAAGCCAGCCTGGCTTACAGTGAGTCCCAAGTGAACCCAAACTATCAAGTGAGACCCTATCTCCAAAACCCAAAAGAGAAAAAGCACAACTGCTCTAGATTTCATCTTGTTAGGGAAACGAAAGTAGGTAATTGTTTTAAACTTTTAGGAAAAATGTCTGTTGGCTCAAAAGTAGTAAAATGTTTCTAAACTCTTATTTTGGCACTGATTCGTATGATAATGTGAATTATCTCAATTCTTAGAACATGGCTTTTTCTGTGCTGTGCTTATCTCACAAAGACAAGCATAGCATTAAATAGGAGCCATGTAGATACACAGAGAACTGGAAGAACATGTGAAGCCGGTGTTGGGAGATCTCAGAGACTCTATAGAATATAACTTTATGTCAGTGTTCATAATTTCCAGCTTTGGTGATATATTTCAAGTCATGGAACTTGATGACAAAAGAGAAGCAAATGACAGTGATATGAATGTCTATCTTTAGCTAAATGCAAATCAGATAGGGGAACCATGAAGTAATTTTTAAAAGGACCAGTCAGAAATCAAGAGATATAGTTTCTGGTCTAGCTCTGCCATTAAAACATCAAAATTAGATAAGCGACTTAAACCCATTGACTTCGGTGTCCTCATCTATAGCATGAGGCTTAGTTGACAAATTGGTATCTGTATTACTCAGGGTTCTCCTGAGAAACAAAGCCAACAAGATCATAGACAAAAGACAGAATTGTCCAGCAAGAACAGTCTGCAGATCAGGCTGGCAGAGTGGGTACCCAGGAGGATCATTCTTTGTGTTTGAGTCCAAAGGCTGGATACTGCTGACCAGGAAGAGCCAATGTGGCAGATGAAGTCAAAGACAGTCTACTAGAGATCTCTTTCTTGCCCTTGGCTAGGCCAATTTTTAATTCTGTTCTACCTTCACTTAATTGAACAAGGCCCATCCATATTTACTCAGATCTTACCAATTTAAATGTTTATCTGTCTAGAAACAATCTCATGAAAACACCCAGAATAATGTTTGAACAAATATCTGGGTACCTTCTACCCTAGTAAAGTTAACATAAAATTAACCATCACATAGTCTAAGGAGCTTTGAATTTTAATGTTCCATAATTATTTCCTAGTTACATGTGATAATTCACAGCCATGCCAGTCACTGACACAGCAAAACCCTAAGTTACAGGAAGGAATGCTTTGATCTATAAAGTTGTTATTGGGCATTTTTTTATATGCCAAGCATTGTGCTATGCAGAGAATTTGAACCTTATTCTAAGAACCATAGGAAGTCATTCAAAGGCTTGAAGCTCAGGTATATGGTTTGTACTTAAAATGATCATTTAGGCTGTGAGATGAAAAGTGGCTTTGAGCAGGGGAAACAGATATTAATAAGTCTGTCAGTTCAGAGGTTCTTATCAGGCAGAGATTTAGCTGCTCAAACTGAGTTGATAGTAGGGAATGAGGAGATGCCTTTGGGGAAAGTGTTAAAACATGTAGCAGTTATCAGAGACCCATTGTCTAAAGCCAGGATGAAGAACTTCGAGTATGCACGATCCTTGGTTCTTATACAAAAAGTCACTTTCTACTTTGTCATCACAGATTATGAGTTAACAATAATCAAAAAGTGTTCTGTACATAATTTTAAAAGGATCACTATGAAATCATAACATGTCGATACTTGAGCCATCATTCCTTGTCTTAATTAACTTAGAGAAATGGGAAGGACTTTGATAGACAGTAGCCTAATTAGATGATAATGGCCCATTCTAAGTATCCTGTGGAACAAGCCCAGACAGGAAAAGGTAATCACAAGATGCTTCACCCCCTGTTCTGGTAAAAGGGTATCATATCTGTGTGTGCTTGTGTAGAAGTTTTAGTTTCTGGCTGCAGTGCAGCAGTGCAGCCTTTCTTGATCTGATAACTGCCCGTGTTTCCACCCTTACCTCCTTTGTTGGTAATACTCTTTCCACAGTGTGCGTTACAGGCTGTCTAATGTCACCTATTTCTTTTTAGCTATTCTTTCCTCTTACTGACCTGACTCTTCCTATTCAGTCTGGAAAATTTCTCTCTATATATCCTGCAATGCCTTGATTTCTTTTCTGCGACTTCAGCCCCCCTCCCAGAATTATTTATTCTGTTCCCCCCATGACACGACTAGTTAGCATTTTATAATGTAGTTGAATTCATCAGTTTGTCTCCCAAAGTAGACTGTGCTGAGTTGGGAACACAGAGTATACCAATCTTAGTGGCATTTTCATTAACCAGTAAAACTTGTAATTTGTCCAATACACGCCATATACCAATGCTTTTAATTAGTTTACTGTGCAAATTTCATAAACACAATGACTATTTTTTAACTTTTTAAAAGATTAAGCTAATATTCTGGTAATTTAGTATATGTATATAATGCATTCTGGTTAATCTCTCCCCACCCCCCTCATCTCTCTCATTCCTGTCAATCCTCTTCTTGACTCTACAAGTCTCTTTCCAGATTGATGTCTTTTTGAGTATTTTGTGATCCACCGAGTTCAACTGGGGTCATGTGCATGGCCATGGTGGAATGCATTGGAGTCTGGTGGGTTGATAGTGGCAGACAGCCTGGAATCTAACAGTTTATCCATGAGTTGTAGGGTCCGCAGAGCTTGTCTCCTATCCATGCCTGACTGTTGCAGGCCCCATTCTTGTGTGGACTCAATGGAGACAACTGCTGTGTGTGTGAGTTTGATTGTAGTTGTTGTCTTGCCTAGAAGATGGCATTTTGCAGCATTTCTGTCTTCTGGCTCTTGTATTCTTTGTGTACCCTTGTTGGCAATGCCCCAGAGCCTTAGAAGAGGTGGGGTAAATACTGTACAGGGCTGAGCAGTCAGCCATCACTTATTATCAGCCCCGTGAATAGCTACGACTCTCTGCATTCAGCACCATTCACTAGAAAGAGAGACTTCTCTGATTAAGGCTGAGACTTAACACCTGTCTGTAAATACAAACAAATATTTAGTAGGTGTTTTAACACTGTATCTATTTAGCTAAACAGTAGCATTAAGTTCCCATCTGGGACCTGCGACTTCCCTAGCCATGGGTTCCTGACTGGATTTACAGTACCAGGGATGTTTTGTTTGTGTGTTGGATTTGGGAGTTTTGGGGGGGAGGTCTCCATAGCCACAGCCAGCCTGGAATGTACTATGTAAATCAGGCTGGCTCACAGAGATCCACCTGCCTCTGCCTCCTTAGTGCTGGGATTAAAGGTGTGTGCTGCCATGCCTGGCATGAGGCTCCCTACTGTACAGTAGGCCCCAGGTCCAATCAGAGTAGTTGGTTACCCCAGTAACAACCATTCACTATTGTGCAGTATGCATGTATTGCTTTCAAGGTTGTATTGTAGTTCATAGAGTACGCATGATGCTTTTCCTTCCCTAGCAGCCTGCATAGTACCTTTTGGCACTATGAAAGCCAGCTGATAGGGAGGAAGTTTTAGGCTCAAGACTGTATGTTTTGAAAGAGAAAATTAGCACATTACACGTAATGGTGTGAAAAGTACTTTCTAAGTGTCTTTTTTCAAACTCTTACAATAATCCCTAAGGGTAGTATAATAATATCATGAAACTACTCCTTAGGCTTAAAGCTTTCTGGATAAAATTGAGCTTTATTTTGTATTTTCAGCAATCATTTCTTAGTTTGTATTCTGCATGCTTCCTGGAGGACCACTCAAAATTTTTCTTTTTCTTTTTTTCAGGGACCATAATTTTGACTATTTGGAGTTTCGCCTTTGGATTGGCCTATGGTCAGCCTTCATGTGTCTCATCCTGGTGGCCACTGATGCCAGCTTCCTGGTTCAGTACTTCACCCGTTTCACAGAGGAGGGCTTCTCTTCCCTGATCAGCTTCATCTTTATCTATGATGCTTTCAAGAAGATGATAAAGCTAGCAGATTACTACCCCATCAACTCAGACTTCAAAGTGGGCTACAATACTCGCTTTTCCTGTGCCTGCTTGCCTTCCAGCCCAGGTGAGAACACAGTTGTGCAGTGCTTACATTTACCCTCTGCACGGAGAAACATACAAGCTCCATGCATGCCCATTTTTACCATGGTGTCATGCTTCTTGTAAAAGGGTTTTACCTTATTTTCTATGAGAAATCACAGTACTGAGTTTAACATCTGAGATATCTCCAGTATGTGATTCAGTCAGGAGGAGCTCTGGGATGTGAGCATTGCCAGCTCCATACTTTGCAACTAGGTCAAACTGCAGTTTTTCCAAAGAACTAACATGTACATTATCTTAGTTATATGAGATAAGTGGGGAGACCCAGGCACATGTATTCACAAGTATAAAAATCAGATAAATGTAAACTTCTGTTCTACATTTTATTGTTTCTATATTGCTATGGGGATCTCCTTTAAATAAAGCTTCTTAAGCTTGTGGAAGAAAAAAGAAATACTAATTCAGTTTGTCTAATTTGAGTCATGAAATTAAAAAAGGGAGTTCAGATTAGAGTCATGTGATGGTCCGGTGGAATCTTTTAGTTTATCTTTAGTAAGTGAAGCAACTAGGGAGGGAAAAGAAAAGGAGAAACTAGAAGGGAGAGAGGGGGAGGGAAGGAAAGAAGAAAAGAAGGCAGGCAGGCAGGCTGGCAAGATGAAATTATATATTCCACTAGCAGATTTATATCGTAGAGTCAGGAGAGATAAAGGTAACTTTTGAGTGAGGAATGTGACCTTGTCTTAACACTTTAATGCTTGTGTTGCCAAACCCAAGTCAATATCGGGTTTTTTTTCATAAAAACATGTTCAACCTCATCTTCAAGATTTTTTCATAGAATTATTCATCATCAATTTATAGTGCACCAGGATTTTGGAAAAAAGGACTCACTTTGAACAGGTTGCTTTAGTTTAATGACAACAGTATTAAGGATACAAAGGTATGTAGTTAGCTATAGGTTAATGTCCTCGATAGTAAAAACTGATACACATTTCACAGTTTTGGGATATGTCCTAGTGGTCTGGAAGTCTCACTGTATCTTGGGGGTTTATGGGAAGTTATATTCAAGAAATATCCACTTTTACTTCTGAATTCTGAGAGAAAACCTTTTCATATTTACAGTAAAACAAATGCAATTATATTATAGACCAAATAGAAAATGGATAAAAAATTAAACAAAATGCTAGGGTGGGTTTTTGTGCTTGTGTGAGATTACTCCCACAAACAGTGGTGGTATAGCACATTCCTTCCCAACCCCCTCCTGACATCTGGAGACTGCTGTTCATCTGGAGTGGCATGAAAAACAAGGAGCTCCTCACCCAGTGCATTGGCCATGATGTTGATGAAAAGATTTGGCACCTTGGGGCCCCCACTCACAACTCCTTTGTCTTATTTAAGGAACATCAACATACATGAAAGTAAAAGCTATGCTGAAAAACAAAGCAGAGAGATAGAAGATGGACATTTCAGGATTCAGATGAGCGTATGTGTTGGAGAGTTATACCAGCCTCCTAGTCCTAAGAGATGTACGGGCTTGAAATATTTCACAATTTAAAAAGTATATTTCACAACTTAAAAAGTGTGGTTCATACCTATAATCCCAGAACTCAGGAGGCTGAGGCAGAAGGATTGCCCCAAGTTCAATGTCAGTCTGGATTACATTGTTCTAGGCCAACCTGAACTATAGAATGAGACTTTGGCTCAAGAAACAAGCAAGCAAGCAAGCAAACAAAAAGCCCAAACTGGCTTGAAATCTTCACAGTTATTATTAAAATAAGTTACATCTGCTCCTCAACTCATTGTGTGGGTGCTCCTTTGGGGAGAGAAAACCAACAAAGTCCACTAAGGTCATTTAGCCTGGATTTGAGGGAGGTCTGAACTTGAGGGAAGTCCGGACAGTGAAAACACTGAGTTCGGGGGCTGGGGATAGATGTAGCTCAGTGGATAGAGTGCTTGATTGGCCATGTACAAGGCCTTGGGTTTCAATCCTCAGTACTACAGAAAAGGAAAAATACTCACAAACATACTGATTGTGGTATTTTTGAGCTTTCTTTTCTCTATGTATGAAAATGTCTGTAAGATGACTTGTTACACATGTTTGTGCCATTATCCACCAAAGATTTCTAAAGGAAAACAATCACCAGTCAGCTGTTCTGTGGTTTGAGGTGGTCATGAAGCTGGAAGTGGGATTTGTCAGCACACCTGCCACAGTCAAAAAATATGTTTAGTGTTGGGCCCCATCCCTACCCGGGGCTAATGAAGACTTACATTCATTATTTTAATTGGATGCTGGTAGACAAGTTAATATGAGATTAAGGAAGGCGTAACTGAATGTGTTCAAATTGAAACACATGCTGAGAGAGAGAGGGAGAGAGGGAGGGAGGGAGGGAGAGAGAGAGAGAGAGAGAGAGAGAGAGAGAGAGAGGTTTTTCCATGAAAATTTCCTTTCAGGAGGAGATCTTTTTTCTGTAAATTTTTAATTGAATTTTTGTGTATTTCATACAGAACACCTTAATTATCTTTATACCCCCTTCCCCATTGGCACACTCCCATAGCCCCCCCACTGGAATTCACACATTCTGTCATTTGTGTTAAGGCCTTTCAGGTCAAGTTAGTGTCCACAAGATGTTCCTCAGTTCAAGTTATATCTAGAGTCCCTCTCTTTAAGAAGATCAACTCTTCCTCACCCAGCAGTAATCAGCTGCCAATAATTCTTTGACTAAGATTGGAGGAGGAGATCTTTGTATTGCTTAAAAAAAAGTAACATTGAGGGATGAACCAACTTCACATATGCATGGCAAGTGCAGGCCCCCTGAGCTAGTTAGCTTTTCCTTTGACCAGTTTTCTCTAGATTGTGTGAAACAAATGCTAGTCCTAAATACCACAGAAGCCCTCTCATGACTCCCACATTTCCCACTTCCTCTAGCTGGTGCCAGTCAGGGAGGGGAACAGGACTTTGAGATGGAAAATCTTATATTTAGGTCCCAGGTTGAGTGATAACAAAATATGTGTTGGAGCAAATTCCTTGTCCCAAAGAAGCTTGGCCTCACTTTCCTCATCTGTAGGACACCGTTAATCATAGCACACAGCTTTTAGAATTGCTTTGAAGAAGATGTGTGTGGTGGCATATTCCTGTAATCCCAGTACGTGGGAGACTGAGGCAGGAAGATTTCAAATTCAAAGCATCCTGGGCTATGTACTGCTTCCCTGTGTCAATTCTCCACCCCAATCAAGGAGTTACTCTTTGACGATGAAAAAATACAGATAAAGTACTTGGGATGTTTTTCATATGTAGTAATTAAATGTTAGTGATTTATTATTGCAGTTATTATTCATGAAATTTTAGTTAGTATTTAACTTTTAGATGTGAATGACAGCACACAAGCTTGCATGTACCATTTTTCTTCTAGTCAAATACTATTGAGTAGTTGGTCCACTCAGCATCCATTCTCGTGGCTGTACTCCTTATTTTTGTAGTGGTCCAGGTGAGTGGCACTCATTAAACATATAAACACAAACATGAGTTGAAATTTGCTTGTGTGTTGTGAAAAGGCAAATAGATAGTTTCATTTTTGTAACACTCTTATTTTTCTAAGCTCCACAAAGTTGATGATTATGTAGTTCCTTCCTAACACTTTTGGCAATCTTAACATTTCTCCATAACCCTGAAAGCTGTGGTAGCAAACTACAAAGATCTGTCATAAATTAGAACTTCTGAGGAGCAAAGTGAAAAAAAGGCTAAGGAGAGACTAAGACAGTTGCCTGTACAGCCCAAGAAAGTATTCTAAAAACAATAAAACACTGGTTTTTCATCGCTACATGTACTCCTAGTAAAAGAATTCAATCAATGAGTCAATAATATTTAAACTGGCAGATGATTTGTTTTTCAACACTGGGACAGTATGTAACAACAACCCAGAAACTGCACAGAAGAGGGGAGCCTTGATCCTCCACCTTGACATGTGATTTTTTCACAAATGGAAAAAGCGGTCACTAATCACCAAGAAGGGCCTCTTCATGCCCACAGTGTATTTTGCATTTTAAATGTCTTTTATTTTTATTTATGTATTTGAAATGTTCATACATGTATACAGTGGCTCTTGATCATATCCACCATCTATTCCCCCAGCGCCGCCCCAACACACTTCTCAACTTCATGCCCTTTCTTTCTTAAAAGTATTTTTAACTTACTCTTTGAGAATTTCACACATGCATGCAATGTATTTTGAACATGTCCACATCATTTCCCCCTACAACCTCTCCCAGACTCTCTTACCTCATCACCTCATCCCCCTCCCAACTTCATTCCCTCTCTCTCTTTGCCTGTCTCCCTTCTCTCTCTCCCTCTCCCCCCTCCCCCCTCCCCTTCCCCCTCTGCCCTGTAAAAACCCCACTGAGTTCAATTAGTGCTGATTAGGCACAGGTGAGTGTAGTGCCATCCACTGGAGGATGGCAACCTATCAGAGGCCATAGCTGTAAAGAAAACCAACTTTCCCTCTCCCCAGCAGCCAATAAGCTCCTCAGCTAGGGGTGGAACTTCATGAGCTTTTATTACAAGCCTAGCTTGCAGGTCATTAATAACCAGTGTGTTATTGTAGACAAGTAGGAAACAGTTGCACCTGTATTTAAGGGAAAAGTTGAGTTAGTTCAATGTATATAGTTAGAATGTTTGCTACTGTTTTACTGAATCTAAGACTACAAGCATGTACAGTATATATAGTCATGTAGCAAAAGACTTTAAAGTCTTGAGGGAAGGTGTTCAGTTAATCTAAAGAGAATCCATATAATTAATCCAGAAACAGGAGTGGTAGAATTTCTTAAATAGGAAACAAAACTTGGACATCTTTCCTACAGGTTCCCTTCCTTTTTCTCCCTCACTTTTTTTTCTTTTGCCTTCATGCATTAACAGAAATTTATTTAGATTTTAATTCATTGATTTTTTTAAAAGTATTATTCTCCTTTTAATGATGTAAACTATGTGTGTGCGCACACACACACATATACTTACACACATTGCTTCCATAAGAG